AGAAATTATGTAAGGAATATATTGATTTGAATCAGATCTAAATATAATGTAATTTGTTCATTTTATTTTATGAGATTAAACTAGATATTCAATGTGTAGAGTGAATTATAAGAAAAAATTTTTTCTTAAAGAATTGACATTTCAATTATTATCTAGAAATTTTCTTAATTGAAATGATAATAATAAAATTAACATGTGAAGTATTTTAATATTTACATGCAAAGTAATCAGTCATATAAAACATGATTTCACAAAATATTAAGTTTATAAAATTGCTGTGATTTTACATGAATCACACATTTGTATTAAAACATTAAACAAAAATTTTTACATGCTTATTACGATTTCTAATACACCATCAAACTCTTTTCTAGTCTTCTTTGAAAATACTTTATAAACTCATAAATAATATATAAAATCTTGTTTTTATTTCAAATAATTAGAATGAATTTTTGATAAATACAAAATCAACGTACCACGAACCTGTTTCCGGTGTGCTTCTCTGTAAAACAAAGTGTTACAAACGTTTTCGAACTTGTAAGTTCTTCTTCAGGTAACATCTAAGCGAATGCCATTCAAATTTAAATTCAACAAAAAAGAACATCATTAAGAACTGTATCGCACGTATCGATGGCGTCATTGACGCATGCGCCCTTTTGCTGTTGTAAATTATCGCAAGTTCTTGTCTACCAGCACCTGCCATGCCGTTGACAGCCGTCATGCCATGACGTTAATTTCGTCTTTGTTGTTAATACAATTGTCGTCTTTTAGTGTAGCCATACATATGTGCAGGGCTTCTAGCCATCTAAGGTGGTGTGCGTATTTAGTGGTGTGGATTACCCTGGCCTGGCTGAATAAAGGCTCTATTTCCGTACCCGAGGCATAGACGGCCAGAGCGGTGGTTTGCCTTGCATGCATAATATCAGCCACGTGTTCTTTTATTCTCACCTCTAATGAGCGCTTAGTGGATCCTACGTAGATCAGGCTTCTGTTCCATCTATGGTCTATAATTGGGATGGTATATACCCCTGGGAGTCCTTCTTTGTTGGGAGTATCTTTCCTGTTCCGTAAAATATCAAAAATTGTCACGCATCTTCTACACACGATGCAAACATTCTTTTCCTTCTCTATTGTGTTGTAAAGTGATTTCAGGTACGGATTGTATGTAACCGGGATCATACTAGATGGAACTTCATTGGGTGCCTGGTTAAGTGCTACTTCTCGTCCGCGCCATTTGCGGATTAATTTACGTACGATCTTGGGATAACCATGTTCGTTGGCTATTTGTTCAATACGCCTTAGTTCGGCATATAGGGATATCCGATCAGACGAGTGTGAGTAAGCCCTCTTAATTAAGGCATTGAAGGCTGCCATTTTATAGTGAGGTGGATCGCACGATCCTATTGGAATGTATAGATGTTCAGCCCCTGGTTTTCTGTATACTTCCGTGCGGGCTACTGTTTGTTCGAACTTGATGTTGATGTCGAGGAAATGCGCTTCAGATGCATGAGCTTGATCTAACTCTAAGGTCAGGCCGTACGGATTATCATTGAACAAATCCACGAACTTTGAAACATCAGGCTTTAGCCTCCATAGGATGAGAATATCATCTACGTATCTTTTATATAGTAAGATGTTAGGTGCGTATTGAGGGATGACCTTATCTTCTACTTGTCTGACCACTATCTCGCATAGGTCCCCTGCGATGGGGCTACCCATCGGGACGCCCCTTCCTTGGCCATACGTGATCCCATTGAATTGGAAGGAGGAGTTATAACATATAAGATGCGCCAATTCTAGTATCTGTTGGTGTAAGTTGTTATCATTAACGATGTTGAAAAGGAGGTCTCTGATGGCGCAAAATACTGCCGGGAGCTTAATAGACGGGTAGAGGGATTTAAAGTCCAAGACTGTTATGAAGGTAGGAGGCGCTGATAATTCCTTGAGGAGTGATATTAGGTCTGAAGGGTGTGTCAGAGCATAAGGATATCCTTCCAGCTTAGGCGAGAGTAACTTATGCATTAATTTCTCTAGTTGAATGGTTGGTGCCCTGGCCTTATCAATGATTGGTCTTAGCTGTTGTCCGGGTTTGTGGACTTTAGCAAAGGCGAATATTCTGGGCGTATCCGGGGAGTCTATCATGATATTCCTAAATTCCAGGCGTTTGGCTAGCTTCGTATTGGAAAAGCGTTTAACTCTCGCCTGCAAGCCGTCAATGACGTTATTACTGGCAATGGTGCATTGTGTGGTGGCTATATGCTCCTCTAGTAGTCGATTATATGTATCCCGTTTCATGAGAACGATGGATTGGCTTTTGTCCGCTCTGACCAATGTGACTTTATTACGATGCATCCATCTTCTTGTGCGTCCCAAATTAGCTATCACTTGTTTCATATCTTGTGGCTGGAAGGAATTTTTAAGTTTGTGCGTGGCCTTCCATCTGTAGTATTCCTTTACTTTATCCGGTAGGCCTGTTATTAGAGATTCCAATTCCGGGATAGGATTTAAATCTTCTGTGGACAGGTAGGGTGCAAACTTCGGTCCTAAGCTCAGCACTTTCTCAACGAAATTCGGTATCTTCAAGTCATCCCACACGAGGTACGAGAATGATGGTTGTGGGTTAATATGGGAAATTTGCTTCCGTCTGATCCATTTCAGTTTCTGTTGATAGCGCTTCTTCAAGGTGTTCGTTAGTCTTTCTTGTATAGCTATAAGACGAGCATTCTCTTGCGTCAAGAAGTCAGGGCTTTGACCAAAAATTGCGTTTTCTATCTTGATCAGTTTTGCGATATTGGTGTAAATTTGTTTCCTTGTTGCACGGATTGCACAATTCAAGCACATATTTTGCACTTTAGCAAGTAATGGTTCGCTACCTGGCGGAAGTCGAATTCGAAAGAACGACATAGGTAGTATTTCCTCTTTCTTGCATTCCCTCAGAAAGTCGTATCTAGCTCTTGCCTTAGTTAGGCATACAAGCGTTCGGTGGTAATTATTAGCCGGCATCGCTAATTAATCCAATCGGCAAAATTTACTACACCGGGTTATAGTAAATACAAAATCAACGTACCACGAACCTGTTTCCGGTATGCTTCTCTGTAAAACAAAGTGTTACAGAGAATTTGAATGGCATTCGCTTAGATGTTACCTGAAGAAGAACTTACAAGTTCGAAAACGTTTGTAACACTTTGTTTTACAGAGAAGCACACCGGAAACAGGTTCGTGGTACGTTGATTTTGTATTTACTATAACCCGGTGTAGTAAATTTTGCCGATTGAGTTTTTGATAGATTTATTATAGTTACATTGAATCCAATCATTTTCAGTTCAATTAAATTCTGTATTGAAACAAATTATGAAAAAATTTGTGACATTTGATCTTTCTTTATATGTTAATGTTAATTATATCATAAAAATATATTGTGATATATCAGATTTTATATTGTTTTCTAAAGTTATACTTTATTTTCTTGTTTCCAAAAATATAAATACTTGATAACTTTTTGATGTAAAAACATTTATCATTATAGTATTTATTGAACATAACAGAAAAACATTATACAAAGGCAACATCAAAATGTTTTGTATAAACTAAAAAAATATAAATGGCAGGATATGACTTGAAATAATAATTGTTTATTGTATCTGAATGTTCTTTACAGCTTATAAAACTGGGAATGGGAAAAATAAAACCTTTAGTAGGTGTCCTGGCATCTGACAAAACTTTCAGTACATGCAGTTATTTCATATTAAGTTGCATTGTCTGAACTTAATAATTTTTTGCAGTTCTTTTGGACATCATATCAACATATTGTTTGGTAATGGTAGGAGGGATTTTGTCCCATTTCTGCCTCAAATATTCCTTAAGGGACTCTGTCATTGCTAAACACTATTTCTGAAGTTGGTGCTTCAAATAACACCAGATATTATTGATGGTACAAAGATCAGAACCCTCTAGCAGCCTATAAGAGTAATTTAATCCATTGGCCTGGAACCATTGGGTCATCAGCTTCACCATGTGGGACTTGACTAACATTGTCTTGTTGAAATTGCTATTGACAATTACCAAACTGTTTTCATTGTGATGGTTGCAAATGTTCCAAAATTTTAATGTGCCTTGGATCTGTGATGATGATTTTTATAGAAATATAAGCTGCCTATTCTAGATGATAACACAATCCCACATACTAACAGAAGATGGTTTTTGAGTTGCAGATGAAGCACTTCAGATTGTTTGTCTTGTCTTTTATGCAATGATTCTGGGACCAGTTTTCCCCCAAAGAAAGTTTAAATGTGGATTCATTGCTCCATAATATACCCACTCAATTACAAATGGTCCACTTTTCATCTGATGAAGTCATTAGATTAGGCTGCATTAGGAATGGCATTTTTTTCAATCAGAAAACTATACTTTAATCTTTGGACACATCTTTGCATTGTGTGTAGAAAGAGGACTATTTAGGTGTTCTTTGTCTCAATACTGTTTTATGGAATATCCAGCTTTTTTTTTGTTTTTTGGAAGCAATATTTATTCAGTTTAAAACCATTCATTAAGGTTAAAAGTTATTTTGATTATTATGTATTGTCTAATGTAGAGATTAGTGCATAACATTTATATTTCTCATTCATGAAAAATACAAAACTGAAAAAAGCAATTATGTAACAAATAAATGAAATGAAGCAACCATGTAACAAAATAAAACATGGTTGCTTTTAATTAATGAAAATGTATATTTCTAAAGTGTGTACATTTGCCTGTACATTGCCAACTCTACGTGAATATCTAATATTATATTATAAAATTCACTCATCAAAATATAAATGTATTAAAGCATAGTGTGTTTATTGATTTATCAAAATTCTAAAGCATCTGAAGTATTTAAATTTTATTACTCATACTTAAGATGACATAAATTTAAAGAAAGTTAATTTTAATTCTGATATATATAAAAAGAAAATGTTATTAAATGATCATTCAGTAATTTTTTTCTATTGTAATTTTAGGAAATTCAACAGGAAAGATGCTAGGTAAAGGGCAAGATGGCTATAGTGCTGAAAAAGATATGAAACAGTAAGTGAATTTTCAAATGATACAAATTAAAAATAAGATACATGACATGATTATTTTATGGAATTTTTATATGAAACTTCAACTTGAAAGATTTTTACTTTAATAAAATAATTGATTTTTGAAAGTATACATATATCAGATTTCAATGGTCATCCTTGGGTTTACATTATATATGAACAGGGATCTAGAAATTTAAACAGAGATAGAATACAATGTCATTGGACAAGAACAAGAGCATCAAGGATGATATGTGTGTGTGTGTGTGTGTGTGTGTGTTGTATGACAAATTCAAATTACTATCTTCCTGTAAGATTTGGCCAGTATAACGATATTTGTACAAAATATTATAGTTCTTTTCAAACTTGATACAAATATCAAAATAAACACCTCAGATAACCAAAAAATCCTGCAAACAAAAATATTTATTAATTAATGAACATTTTTTATCATTTTCAATGGTCGTCCTCAGGACATCGCAGATTACATTACAGATTCTAGTTTACATTATATTCAAACATAGAAATAAACTAGAGGATAATCATCAAAAATGGTCAAAAATATTCATTAATTAATAAATTATTTTGTTTGCTGGATTTTTGAAATTTATGCACCAATTACCTTATAAGCAAAATTGTGGTGATATTCTTAAATTTTCCAGAGAAACTCCTGATATTTACTATAGAACAGTGATAACTATCACTCTAACTTTAGGTAAACAGTCATTTAAGTACCAGCAGTCAATCAGTCATAAATTCCCTCAACTTTATGAATTTACCCTAAACTTCAAACAGGCAACTAAAAGCTAAGTTGAGAGTTACACTGTATATAGTGTAATATACACAGAGATTGTAATAGTCAGAAAACTTGCACATATACAGTATAATATTTTTTAAGTGATATGAATCAAGTTTATAAAAAGAAATTGTATAGGTATATGGAAGTTGCTTGTGGCTCACAAGCCACAGTTTAGAAAATCTTGGAACAAATTACAAATAAAACTCACGTTCAAGCATTCAATGTTCGTGAAGAGTTACTCAGTCCAGTGGTGGCCCTAGCCAGGTTTTCAGGTGGTGCGAGATCTCATTATGGCGCTCCCCCTGTAGAGACTAAACTGATAACGTACATTTTTCACATTATTAGTATAGTAATACTATGGACGAGAAACGATAATGACAGTAAATGGAAAATTAACTTGACCCTTGTTAATTCAGACATATCACAAGCTGTTGATGTTTGTTTCCCTTCCCACTATGTAATCGATGTAATCTCTTAATTTTAGGTTTTTTTTTTTACTCTTTTCACCCTGTGGGCACTAAGAGGGCCTCTTATAGCAAGCCCATTATGGGTTCGACCAGGCTCACAATGGGGGTGGTGACCGGGTGATGAGAGACGGGGCCCGACATATCCAAACGGACCATCCTCCGAAAAATTCCTGGGGATTCCTTGACCTGTCTGGATTCGATCCTGGGTCCCCCAGAGCGGCAGGCTGCCACCTTGACCGCTCGGCCATCTGGCCTCTTAATTTTAGGTTATGGAGATATAGCACACGTTTCAGGATTTTGTTTTTTATTCTCACAACCCAGCTCACTCTTGTGTAAAATCTATAGCATAGTACTAGTATGGATGAGGAACAATAACAGTGAAAAAAACAATATTCTTTCACAAGGCAATATTTATAACAATATTTATTTAAACTGCTATGGCACAGACAACACTCACATCACGCAAAAGACAAATTTACATTGTAAATGAATTTAAAATTGAAACAAATTAAGAAAATAAATAAAACATATATTGGTGGGTAGGGTTAAGTAGTAATAAGGTGATCGAGTTTTATTTTTTTCGCAGACGATCTATCATTGCATTTTCAGCGCCTTCACTATGACAACGCCCAGTGCGGTTGCACCATTCGCACCACCTAGGACTGCCCCTGACTCAGTCCAAATTATTCACAAACATGTGGGGGATTAGTGTACTGTACATGATATTTTTTCCATTGAATAAACATACAGATATAAGCTCTGAACAGAAGCATGGAAGTGATTATTTTCACTGCATCATGTGTCAGTTTTGTAATTTAGTTTTTTAATTTTTTCTCAAAAAATTTCATTATTAAATGAAAACATGTAATATAAACATCCAAACACCTTGTATCGTAAGTTGCCAGATGCAAAAAAATCTGGTATTCACAAAGCACATCGTAAGCTACAATATTGTAAAAAGTCTCATAAGTCTAGGTACTGGTGGTTGAGTATTTGATTTTATCGATAAATAATAATACAGTAGAGCCTCGATTATCCGACCCCCGATTAACCGACCGTCCTAGTCGGCAAATTTCAAATGACCGCTAGTGATGTGGCGCTACAATATTTGGCTACGTCTTGGCTACTTTAATATTATTTTTACGTGTTTTAGCTGGCAACACTCATTCGACCATGAAAGGGAGCCAGTGTGAGACTAATCGGGGTAGGATGTTTACGAGTTCTTGACTCTCCTACCTCTTACTCGACTCAAGACCTTGAGGGCTGGTCTCGCTTGTCTAAAGGATGGATTCTTTTGAGCGGAAGGGTTTTAACGTTAAGGATCGCTAGATCCTTATTTCACGTCAGGATCTGACACCAATCTATCAATTTATCGCGGATAGATACGTGGTCAATTTCATGGGGAATTATCACGAGCAATCTTGTCGAGGACTTCGGGTTCAGTATGGAGGTGATAATGCCGGAAGAAACGCACACCAATCCAAGTTCGTTAACAAAATACCCGTTTATTAGTATACATTTTTACATAGTTAATTATTGGAAGAGTCGAGGATACAAATCCCTCTAGGGGTTTCAATCCGTATAGTTCATAAAATAGCAGGCAAAATATAAATTAGTCGCGACCCTAACTGCAAGTTTGGAATATTCGAGAGCGAGCTTACATATCATCGCGAGTAGAATAAATACCTCTAGTTATAACGTGGATGTAGGTTCTTGTTCTCCTGGGTTCGTAATATAGTCCAAAGTTCAAAATCCAAGTTCAAGTCGTAATCAAAGTCAGAACTGTAAAGTCTATTGATGGTAGCGACGAGAGGCAGGTAATCCACACACACACACACACACACACACACACAGTATATAAAAATAACTTCCCCCCTGTGTCGTCATCGCACTCGCCTTTTATATGGGGGCTCTGTTTTTGAGATTTCCCCATGTACGTCACAGGTGATGATCTTCTTTGAGCAATGGTGGGCAAAGTGACAAACTTATGACACAACAGTTAACTCATCCCCTACAAGGAAGTATCTCCGTGGGAACAGAATTTTATAAGCGATTTTTATGAGAAAATTTGTCGGTTGTTTTTCTCATTTGGAGTTAACCCCAACTTTTAAAAAAATCAGTTTGGTTTTGAAACAAAACGGTAAATGAATAAACAAAATGAATATAACTATTCGAATCTCGGCCTTCTTAAATCCTGACCCTCACACCAGTATTTAAACGAAGCTTAATTTTCTAATTTTTAACGATACAATAGCGACGATTATTATTTTAAAAAATTTTTGTTAGGCTTAACATCAATGAAAATTCAACGCGAAGTAGATTAATAGCGATATATTAATATACTAATTACATGGGATATAATAATATACTACACTAATAATGGATTTTTTCATACTTTTCGGTTATCCGACTTTTCAATTATCCGACCAACCCCAGTCCCCAATTGAGTCGGATAATCGAGGCTCTACTGTAATCAATTCAATTGTTTTTTTTATTTTTTATTATTTCTTCTAAGATGTTATCAAATGACATAAAATTGATAGAATTCTTCATGGTGGAATTAAATCTTATTCATTATAATTTAATGTTATCTTTTTACAGCCAAACAACTATTAGTTTGTCAATTTATTTCAAACTTCTTCAATATTTCTATTAATATAACTAGCAGTATCAATTTTGGATATATTTAGTTCCACACCTAGATTGGTTACATTTTTAGGTATCGTCTATTATACATATAAATAGCAATTAATTAATCTAAAAGTAACTATCCATTTTAAAATGCTACCTTACCACAGATTAAATACCACATGCAGCAAGAAAATTCTAAAAGAAATGTCTTTCTATTGGCTCCATTAAAATGGAAGCGGTCGCTACTAAGTGCTGTGATGTATTTTGTAAATATAAAATATTGTTAGTTTCTTGTAACTTTACAATATTGGACAGGTACTATGTCATATCTTACAAGACATTTGTGAATCCAGGCTGTGATAGTTATCTATATCTATATAAAAGCCAAACAATTGCTGGATTATATTGGGCTATATTACCACTACTATTATTAAGTACTAAGTAATTTGGCACTAGTGGCATGCATTAGGTGCCATTTCCTGCTAAATTTAATTATAATTATTAATATTTAATTTAGAAGTTTCTGGAAGAAAAGAATTGGCCCGAAGTGGGAATCAAACCTGCAACTCCCTCTTATCATATGGTCATCTTGTCAATTACACTACCCAGAGTTTAGGTTCTGGAGGCAAGGATCAGATGAAACTCTGGATAGTGTAACTGGCAAGGTGACCACATGATAAGAGGGAGTTGCAGGTTTGATTCCCACTTCGGGCCAATTCTTTTCTTCCAGAAACTTCTAAATTAAATATTAATAATTAATAATTATAATTAAATTTAGCAGATGGCACCTAATGCATGCCACTAGTGCCAAATTACTTAGTATTTAATTAATAGTAGCGGTAATATAGCCCGATATATTAAGTTGTCAGTCTTTAACATGAATAAAATAATGATTAAAATGTAATATATTTAAGAATTTCAAATCAGTTAGAATGAATAATTTATAATTATATAATAATTTTTTTCTTCCAGAATTAAACCCAATTTGACAACTTCAGGAGATGTTATAGACGACATAGAGAACATGTTAGCTAATTTATCCAACCAATTAGATGCCATGTTAGAAGATGGAATGAATGACGAATGAGATAATTGGTGCCAACTATTGAATTAATTTAATTTTGGTCATCTTGCTTTATGTCTGCAGTCACAGACAACCGGCAGTTTCCAGAAGATGCCATCTGTTGTCTTCCAGAACATCTAGTGCCTTAAAATAATAATTGAAAGATACGAAATTAAACTTAGCAGGAAGAGTCAAAGTTGTAGTTAGTTTTGTGAAAGTTGACATGCACCCTGCACCAGTATTGTGTATAGTTTGTCACTGCCGAGAGAGGGGATTTATGTTAAGATTTGTAGAGGCACTGTTGATAGTAAATGTGTTCTATGACATTTTTGTCTTTGGAGCATGATTTCGAGCAGGTAACTTGAAATCATATCCTGGACTAAAACTATTAAGTTCTTCTTAGATATTATTATCTTGCTGTATAATTTTATTATGGTTTTTATTGTGGCAAAAAAAAAAACTGCCAAATAGCTGAAACCAAGAAATGTGAAGTTCCTGCATATTCCTGTCCTCATCTGTTAATCGCGTTACCTCATTAGCTAGAATCCGTCGCTTGTCTAAATTGGGCTGTCTGATAAACTTAAAATTTCAGCTCTAACAGTACAACACCTGCAGAAATTGTACAAATTTGAAATATTACCGATCAATTAATTTGGAAAATCTGCTCAAATTTCAGCAATAATTACAGTTTTATAAAGATATCTATACATTGCAAAACAACCCTGCTTTTCAGACTGCCTTAATTTTTTATGGTGTTTGTCCAAATTTGTCAAATTATTTATGATTATAATTAATAAAAAAAATTTGAGATGCTCCAAAATAAAATTGGAGTTCATAGACGTGTGGTTAAACAGGACGTGAGTTATTAGTAGACTCGAGGGAAAAACGATCTCACGATTTTTCAAAATTTTTAAAGATTTCTTAACCACTGTTAGTCACAGACAAGCATCCATGTCAATTGTTATTCACACCAGCAATTTGTACAGCAAAACAGACAATCTTGTTTTTCAGTAATTTTTGAATGTATCAAATATAGTATTTGCATTAGGAGTCACTGGTTGACTCTGTCTGAGTAATGTATGTGAATTTTTAAAAACTTTTGTAGTTTTCTTAGGGTTGGTTAAGTTTTACAAAAAGTGTATATTGGTGGGACAATTTACAAAATACTTCCAAGTGTAATAAAAGTGATGATTAGCAGCTTGACTCTTGTTTTTTTTGTTTCATAAACATTTAAAGCTTAATTTATGATGAGTGAGCTTAAATTAATAATTTATATTATTATTATATCTGTAGGAGTAAGTATACAAATGATACATATGAAATTTATTAATTTCTTAATGCTTGATTTTGATTTTAGCAGAGATTATGCATTATTTTAGGTATTTACTAATTGTATGTACAGTAGAATATTTAATAAATTATATTGTTATATATTTATTCAAGCATACTGGTACAACCATATGTGGAGAGAAAACATACCAAAAAAAATCATACAAGAACATACAACATATAAGTTCTATATACTTGTTTTGTATTAACAGATAACTAAAGCACAATAGTGAAACAAAAATTAAATTTATTCTAAACCTAAAAATAAAAAATAAAATAGCCTAGTTTCTGGTAATTATTTATATCTTACCTGGAAAATGAAAAATAATCAGTTTAGTCTCTTATTCACAAATTAATATCCAAATAGTCTCCCAAATATCCAAAGCTAACCCTGGTTAAATAACCTGCAAACCACACCCCAAGAGCATAATTAACAAAATTACTAACAATTTTCAATATAAACCTAAAAAGAAAAAAACCCACATTATCTCATGATGTTGGTTTTATGGTAAACAATTTAATCTTTTTAATAAAAATAAATACCTTGAAAAATGAATCAGTATCAGAAATTATTTTCCTAAAATTATTAAAAGAAAAACAAGTAACACCAAAAATCATCTCATGTAATTTTGACAAAAGGCACAAACTGCAACCACATGATATGCATTCAATTGTGAATCAACTGCACCACATATGCAAATGTCCCTTCTAAAAAATGAAAAATAATCAGTTTAGTCTCTTATTCACAAATCGGATAGTCTCCGAATAATGTAATTAAAAATAATATAGATTAATAAAATATATAGTAATAATATACTAAAATATTCATTTTTCAACATGGAATGGCATTAATTATTATTAGATATATAATGAAAATTTATCTTATAAATTGTTAAGTCTTGAAAATACCATTCTAAAACTTGATAATGCATTGCTGAATATAATCAAGACAAACAATTTAAACTAGATTAAGAATTACTTCCTGCAGATTAATTATAAGAAAATTGTTCATTCTGTTTTATTATCTTCATAATTGCAGTTTTTAAATTCCTTCATAAATAATGATATAAATTAAGTAATTCTCATTGTTAATTTTCATGGATGAGCTTTACATGTAATTCAATAACTTAATCTTATTTATTTACTCAAATGTCATCAATCTTTTTTCAAATTTTTGTTTTGTATAACATATGTCTGAAGAAGTTTCAAAAAGATCTGGTAAAAACATTTGCAAGATTTGCAATTAAAGGTTTTATTCTGATTGCATTGATACAAATGGCACTTTTAATAAATTTCTCAACTCTGATATACCTCCAATACACTTTAATCAAACATAACAAAATTAATTTATTTAAGTGATTTGACCTAAAGATATCATCTTAAATAAATGAAAGTATTAAAACAAACTGTTGGAAATTGATTGTATAACTGATAAATAAATTAAAAATTAATCAAACAAACATCTGAATTGAAAAGATCAATCTGAATTCATGAAGAGATTATAGATTTGAATCAAAGGCAAATCTTTGATCTCTATAAACCAGATAGACATGCTACCAGTTACACTATCCAGATTTCTAATTCAATCTTTACATCCAAATTTATATGTGATTTTGAAGTATAAAATACTGAATTATTTATAAATAAAATAGAATTTAATTATAGCAAATTCTTGACAATAATGAACAAGTTTGAAAATAGAAATGAAACAGCCATAAGATCAATATTATTTTCTTCCGTCTATAATGAACTCTTACATAAATGTTAGTATAAAATGAATTTTTAGGTTTAAAAACAATGAAAGTTATATTTTATAATAAATTATGTGTACAAAGAATACTCTGAAATCTCTAGGATCTAGATTTTTAGGCAAAAACTTTTTTCCAGCAGCATGAAACATAAGGTGAAGGTCCTTAAAACAATTTTAAAGTATCTAAAATTGCTAACTATGGAAATTTTTGCCTAATTTGAATATTTTGGTTTTTTAAAAACTATAAAATGTGCATTTTGATTGATAAAGGGCACACACCATGTTTAATAGATTGTTGATTGCCGGATCACGTCAGGCTATATTAATGCTGCTAATTAATAATTAAATGTAAAGTACAGTCATTTGACCTAGATATAGGCATTACGCACCATCTCTTGATAAATTTAATAATTATGATTAAATTAATATTTTAATATTTAACTCAATAGGTTTCAATAACAAATCAATTTTGCTGTTGTGAGAAAAACAATTCAAAGAATTTAAAAGATAGAGACATTTTCTTTTGAAATGTTTTTGCCATTACAAAATATCTTTTGAACACATTTTGTAATGTTGGAATGTTCAAAACAAAATACCCAAGCCTCTACCTTTTAAATTGTTTAAATTGAATCCTCACACCACAAAACTAATTTCTGTTATCAAGATATTACTACTTGGCATCTTTGGTGGATCTTAATCTGTAATTTTTGATGTGGAAATACTTAAAAAGTGTGATTTATCAACATGTTGAAAATGTGGCAGTCTCAAAAGACATTATATCACACGAATCTGAAATTTGTTCAGTCTGTCATTGTTTACACCTTCAGAATAGGGACCAAATTGACCAAGTTTTCCCTGAAGTGCTAAGGTCTCTGTATAGCATGAGTGTTTTGTAGAAATGTTTTTAGTGTTTTCACAGCAATAGTTGAGTGTTTGATAAAAAATGAATTAGTACCAAATGTCTTTTGCATATCCTGAAATGTTACCATACTATTTAGCAGTCCAAATTTGGTTGCATTTGGACTGCAAAATAGCTCACTAGAAAGCATTGAATAGAAGTTCATAATGATCACCTGGTAAATAAAGATATAGCAATGAAAAAGCATTATTAATATAAAAAATATTGCTTCACAATTAATTATAATCAATGCAAAACAAAATAATAAAATTGACATAATCAATGAAACAAAGGTTGTGTTTTAGAAAAATTTCAACTAAATTAAAAAAAAAAAAAAAAACAATTGGCAAAATAAATCAGGATACTATTAAGCCTACCTGAATATTGGATATTACTTGTAGAAACTTTAAAAAGTTTCAAATTAGCACTTCAAAAAGAATTCTGTAAAACATTTCTAAATATAAATATGTTATATTTATTCCTTTAAATATTCCTTTATCACATTTCTCCTGTATAAAGTTTTTCACTATTATGTATAAATTAGTAATAATAAATTTTTAATTTATCAAAAAGGTAGAAAATAAAGGAATTATTTGAACTTTTGTAATTTGATATTGCTCAGTTTCACAACTAACTTTTTATCTGGAGAAAATACAAAAACACAACAAAAGCATATTCAACAATTTATTGTTTAGAATATATAAAAATTTATAATTGTTTTCATTCTTTTTAATTAGTAAATATGTATGTACAACATTTATATAAAATTTAATTTAGTCTGTTAAAATTTATAGTAGAAAAATTTTTATAAAATGGCACAAGTGATTATTTCTGTTTATTCCACTGATATTTTCCATCCACAAGACCGAAAGAATATGGCAAAATAAATATCTAGATGGGTTGAATTTCCTTCTTTGGCTTTCCAATCGTAAGTAATTTCTTGGTTTTCAGTGCGTATGGTCACTCTTATTTTACCGTTAGAATCTAGAGGTTCTACATCAAATATAACCACGGAGTTACGTTTCAAAGTGGGTAGGTGATTGGTCATTACATTTCCATTAACATATACATTACCTGAAAAAAAAAATATTCTATATATAGAAAAATCAAATTATTACATTTCATTTGTTTAATGATGTCAAATATACAGGGTGATCATAATTAAAGTATAGATATTTCCTGATTTTTGAAAATTTACATCACTTTGCCTTTACAAAAGACGTATTGGGTTGGCCAAGAAGTCCATGTTTTTTTTTTAGGCGAAAATAAAAGATAAATTTACTCAATAATACTGTATATTCGCAGTTTTTATCGAGTATTTTTTGCCATCTTTCACGGTGCTTCATAATACTCATTTTAAAAAATTTGCAGGTTTTTTTTTTATTGCGAAAACTTTCAAGTTCATTTTTACATTGTCATCGAAAGCGATGTTTGTTTCAAGAATTTTGAAAGGAACAAAATAAGTGCTAATTGGAAGAGACAAAGTCAGGTGAATGTGGAGGATGAGGTATGACATCCCAGCTAAGTTCCAATATTTTAGAGTTTAATTTTTGCCAGATTTGCAATGACATGTGGCCGAGCACCTATCGTGGTGGAAGACTATGCCTCTTTGATTCATCAATTCTGGACGTAACTCCTGAATTAATGTGTTCAATTTGTCCAGCTGGCCACAGTATACACCAGAATTGATTGTTGTTTTTCAGAAGCAGATCGTAAAACAAAACATCCTTCCAATCCCACCAAATCAAGAGCATGACTTTATTTGGATGAAGTGATTTATGGTATTTGCTGCACTTCACCCAAAATCTTTTGCAATTGATGTTGACTCACTTTTCATCCCCCATCACCATTTGCTTCAGAAATGGTTCACTTTCCTCACGATTTTTGAGAGAATTGCAGATGAAAATCTGAGTGATGCAATTGGCTTCACTAAGTTTATGTGGAACCCAAACATCAAACTTGCTGACGTATCCAAGTTAACACACAAGATTTTCTACACTCAGTTTTGATATTTGAAGAATAACTGCAATCTTCTGCATTATATGGCATTATATGGCAATCTTCTGCATTATATGGATTACTGTCGATCTCAACTGGCAACCTAATCGTGGTGCATCTTGAATGGAAAAATCTCTGGAACAAAATCTTGCAAACCACTTCTGGTGCACACATTTTTTCATAGCATCCTTACCATACACCTAACACATTTTTTGCAGGTTTGCACTGTGTTTTGCCTTTTTTAAAATAAAGCATAATGTGTCAATAATGCACATTTTATTCACTCATCTTTTGAATATTGACAAACACCCAAAACGAAACTAATTGTCAAGCTTTATTTAAGCTTGACGAATATTTTTGACAAGTATCAGTGAACTATCACTTGTCAAACAATCATGTGTTTTTGAGGTTAAAACTACTAATTGCTTTTCAGTGTCTAACTCTATCTATCAGAAAAAACTATATAAACTTATTGGCCAACCCAATACATCAGTATCTGTTTTAGCTAACTAACTGAAAGAAATCCAAAGAGGATTTTTGTTTTAATAAAAAAAAAGGCAAAAAAGTTATTAAAGTTAAAAGCAAAAAAGGCAAAAATATTATTGTTCAGAGTTTGTTTTGCAGCAAGCCATGTGAAGGTAAATGCACTCCTAGCAACAAGAATGGTACCATCAAGCTCCTTCCCCAAGAACTGCATTTCCCATCTTGGCATTAATCCATCATAGCTTTGAAGCTTTGTACCTAAGCATTTGTGTTTTATCTCCATTTATTTTGTGGTCTGTTAGCAAGATCTGTTCTAAGCTATCAGAAAAGCCTAAAGAAAGCTTATAAGGGAATACCCTTCATTAAGTCTAGTTTTATGTAAAAATGGACATAATTAAGCATTTTGATCATAGTAAACAAAGTAAAGACATTGTACACATATTGATCTTGTCTACATCCACCATTCATACTATTTACAGATAACTTTAAAGATTATTTCTATTATTGGTGTTCTGCTAGTAGCAAAGTTGTCTCTTTAGTTGACATCCAGTAATGGATAAAATGGAAAGTCTACTACTTAAGTAGCTTGATAGTCATACAAAGTGTGTGTTCCATTAAGGTAGCTTATACTTATTAAAAAGACTGATTGATTTCTCTTTAAGTTGAAACAGAAAGCACTGGCTAATGGTGATGAAAGTAGAATTTGAATATAGTCATGGCTGATTTGATTATTTTGAGGTAAGGGCATCTACAGTGCTTAAAAGTTACTGGGAGATAGTGATTTAGCTGATGTTGCCAAAAAGCACCCAGAACGTGGTTATTCATGTAAGCAAGTGTTTAATTGTGACAAAATTGCAGTTTATTGGAAAAAATTACAGAACAAGACATGTATTTCAATAGAAGAAAAAACAAAGCTAAAGGACAAGATATTGAAGAATAGGTCTATTAATAATGATAATGGTGATGCTGTCCTTAAGCTTTAAGCTTCTACTAATGTACCATTGAAAAGTCAAAAGCTCATTTAATGCTATTAACGAGAAATGTATCCATAATGATTATTTTTTTACAATTTATGCACATTTTTTTAATAATATTGATTGAAAATAAAAACAATTATTGTATGTATTTCACATTAAATTTATTAAAATATTAAATTTTGTTGTAAATAATGGATTCATATTATTCTCCATAATCAACTAATAAATAATGTATATATGTGTAACTGTTATTTTATTATTTATTGTCACAAGAACAATAAATTGATCATTATAATGATTTATAATGAAAAAATTAGAATACTCAAACAATAAAGACAAGCTTGTAAAATAATAATTATTACCTTTCATATTTATAAATATCACTCCAGGTTGTAAAAATGCAGCATCCTTTTTAGTCTGAGATGTATCTACTAGAGCCAAACCTTCATCAATTTCTTCTTGTTCTCCTACATCTAATATATGAAATTTGATGGAATGGTTGATTCTGCAAATTAAGAAAGTACCTAAATACTATTTTAATTTTATTAGTCACTTGAAAAAATTAAAATTTAAAATCATAAATCTGTTAAAACTTTTTAAACACAGTTATGTTATGTGTAGTACCAGCAAGCTTTATTCCTACAACATAAACTAATGGATTAAATTTAGACCTATATATATTCCTGCTGTCATTTGTCTGTCTGTCCTTCGTTAATCTCGAGAAAGAAGTTAGATGAAAATCAAGACTGGATGTGAAAAGCATAGAGGCTGGAAGCTCAAATTAATTATATACAAAGTTCCAGCTGGGACTGGAAGTCACGTAATTTTTTAAATTAAAAGATGTTCAAAAATAGCAGCTTGGCATTGTGACAATATCACAATAAATAATTGCTCGTTATTATTTACTTAAGAGTAGGCAAAAAAAGGCCTAATATTTTATCATCATTTAAAATAGTAAAAGACTGTTTCATGACCTCAAAAAATTGTCATTTTCAACTGGAAAACTGAAATAAGCAAACATTTCTAATAAATTAATAACTGAAATTTTATGGGGACACTGCAGGTTATGGTCAGGATAGGCATGATTTTTCACAAAGGTTCACTGCAAGGTTTCTTTGGTAAGGTGATGACTAGATTCCCAACAAAAGTTAATATCATACAAATAGCATTCAAAAACCAAAATGAATCAAAATGACCCTTTTGATCTTTTTAGTGTTAAGGTAATGTGTTGCTTAAAAAATTTGGCAAGTCTTTGAATGGTATTTCCATTTGAGATTTATTCTATATTCAAAAAGATGTTTTAAAATGACATTTTTTTAGTCTTAAGTTTAAATAAACACTAACTTTTTCACTAACAGATGGTTAGTTCATTATATTGTATGTTCCTTTTGGTGGTACAGGTAACTGGAATAATGACAGACATAGATTATGTGATTTCACATGTTATCAATAGAATCTAAAAGTTTTAAATCCTCATTTCCAACAATATGATACAGTTTGTCAGGATGATGAGACTCCAGATCTTGGTAAAGCTGTATCAAAATTTTCAGAAGTTTGAGAAGATTGCCAATTGAGCCAATATCTAAACTATGACAGTTAGCAGCATTTTTTCCATAATCAGAAGAAATGTCATAGAGTAAAGGGAAATGGTTGGGGTGAAACCTTTTGTGTTATTAGAAGAGAAGGAGACTTTAGTTCTTTCAAGAATAGAATCAAGAAATAAACATATGTAATCCATGCAATTGTAGCACAGACTGGATAAAGATCTAGAAGAGAAAAGTTGGAGAACTCACATAAACATGCACATAAAGATATGGACAATATTAAACTATTCATTGTAATGTTATGCTAATAAGCCAAAAAATCCAGTGAGATCAAATTTCCAGTGAATTACATTTTTGGTTTTTTAAGAAAGGAATCATCAGCAAATGGTTTGTGACAGAAAAATATAAAATTTGTCAATTTATCCAATAATAAATCCATGATTAATGCAATAAATGATATTAAGTTTTCTCACATAAAATTGAGAAAATTTGAAAACTGAAGTCATTCTGAACATTCTGACCTTAGTAACGAAAATCATACAAGTCGTCTTTTTTTTTACTAGATGTTTTGTTTATTATTTTCTTTCCTCTGGAATCTCATTGTATTTCTTTCTTAGTTTTTATAACCTGAAAAATTGAAATAGTCATTCTACATTTAAACAGATTACAATCTCTGTTAGATAACTTTACAAGTCCTATGTTGGCTACTAAAACACAAAGTGTGTAACATAATAATTAGATGTTTTCAATATAATTATTCATGTATTTAATTATATATGTATATATTTCTTATTAAATGCTTTAATAAAACACTTTTTATTAATAAAAATCTACCCTATTACATACTTTTATTAACTAAAGTCAGGATGTTTAGAATAACTTCAGTTTTTGAACACATTAACTTTAAAATTTTTAAATTTCAAAAAATTAGGTATAGCATTATTACCTGAAATTTAAATATTTGACTTACATTTCAGGATAAGTAATTTTTTAATGTGTGAATTTTCAATTTTATACTTTTTGAAATTATTAGATTGAAATTAGATTATTTAAAATTGTTATTCATAAGTAAAACTTTACTCAAATATTAAATAGCTGTACCAACTCACCTTTGTAGAGATAGTTTGGAGTAGAGATTAGAACTCCCAATGGATTCGAGTTTTGTGGCTATCTTATTATCATTAGTTAAATTATAATTAGGATTATTTGATTCCCATTCTATTGGAAAAAAAAACAACAATTATAAGTAAAAATAATCATAAATGTAAATAAAAGTCTGAAATAAAAATTAAACTTTAATCCAAAGATACACAATGTGTNTGGATTTTTTCATACTTTTCGGTTATCCGACTTTTCAATTATCCGACCAACCCCAGTCCCCAATTGAGTCGGATAATCGAGGCTCTACTGTAATCAATTCAATTGTTTTTTTTATTTTTTATTATTTCTTCTAAGATGTTATCAAATGACATAAAATTGATAGAATTCTTCATGGTGGAATTAAATCTTATTCATTATAATTTAATGTTATCTTTTTACAGCCAAACAACTATTAGTTTGTCAATTTATTTCAAACTTCTTCAATATTTCTATTAATATAACTAGCAGTATCAATTTTGGATATATTTAGTTCCACACCTAGATTGGTTACATTTTTAGGTATCGTCTATTATACATATAAATAGCAATTAATTAATCTAAAAGTAACTATCCATTTTAAAATGCTACCTTACCACAGATTAAATACCACATGCAGCAAGAAAATTCTAAAAGAAATGTCTTTCTATTGGCTCCATTAAAATGGAAGCGGTCGCTACTAAGTGCTGTGATGTATTTTGTAAATATAAAATATTGTTAGTTTCTTGTAACTTTACAATATTGGACAGGTACTATGTCATATCTTACAAGACATTTGTGAATCCAGGCTGTGATAGTTATCTATATCTATATAAAAGCCAAACAATTGCTGGATTATATTGGGCTATATTACCACTACTATTATTAAGTACTAAGTAATTTGGCACTAGTGGCATGCATTAGGTGCCATTTCCTGCTAAATTTAATTATAATTATTAATATTTAATTTAGAAGTTTCTGGAAGAAAAGAATTGGCCCGAAGTGGGAATCAAACCTGCAACTCCCTCTTATCATATGGTCATCTTGTCAATTACACTACCCAGAGTTTAGGTTCTGGAGGCAAGGATCAGATGAAACTCTGGATAGTGTAACTGGCAAGGTGACCACATGATAAGAGGGAGTTGCAGGTTTGATTCCCACTTCGGGCCAATTCTTTTCTTCCAGAAACTTCTAAATTAAATATTAATAATTATAATTAAATTTAGCAGGAAATGGCACCTAATGCATGCCACTAGTGCCAAATTACTTAGTACTTAATAATAGTAGTGGTAATATAGCCCAATATAATCCAGCAATTGTTTGGCTTTTATATAGATATAGATAACTATCACAGCCTGGATTCACAAATGTCTTGTAAGATATGACATAGTACCTGTCCAATATTGTAAAGTTACAAGAAACTAACAATATTTTATATTTACAAAATACATCACAGCACTTAGTAGCGACCGCTTCCATTTTAATGGAGCCAATAGAAAGACATTTCTTTTAGAATTTTCTTGCTGCATGTGGTATTTAATCTGTGGTAAGGTAGCATTTTAAAATGGATAGTTACTTTTAGATTAATTAATTGCTATTTATATGTATAATAGACGATACCTAAAAATGTAACCAATCTAGGTGTGGAACTAAATATATCCAAAATTGATACTGCTAGTTATATTAATAGAAATATTGAAGAAGTTTGAAATAAATTGACAAACTAATAGTTGTTTGGCTGTAAAAAGATAACATTAAATTATAATGAATAAGATTTAATTCCACCATGAAGAATTCTATCAATTTTATGTCATTTGATAACATCTTAGAAGAAATAATAAAAAATAAAAAAAACAATTGAATTGATTACAGTAGAGCCTCGATTATCCGACTCAATTGGGGACTGGGGTTGGTCGGATAATTGAAAAGTCGGATAACCGAAAAGTATGAAAAAATCCATTATTAGTGTAGTATATTATTATATCCCATGTAATTAGTATATTAGTATATCGCTATTAACCTNAATGCATGCCACTAGTGCCAAATTACTTAGTATTTAATTAATAGTAGTGGTAATATAGCCCGATATATTAAGTTGTCAGTCTTTAACATGAATAAAATAATGATTAAAATGTAATATATTTAAGAATTTCAAATCAATTAGAATGAATAATTTATAATTATATAATAATTTTTTTCTTCCAGAATTAAACCCAATTTGACAACTTCAGGAGATGTTATAGACGACATAGAGAACATGTTAGCTAATTTATCCAACCAATTAGATGCCATGTTAGAAGATGGAATGAATGACGAATGAGATAATTGGTGCCAACTATTGAATTAATTTAATTTTGGTCATCTTGCTTTATGTCTGCAGTCACAGACAACCGGCAGTTTCCAGAAGATGCCATCTGTTGTCTTCCAGAACATCTAGTGCCTTAAAATAATAATTGAAAGATACGAAATTAAACTTAGCAGGAAGAGTCAAAGTTGTAGTTAGTTTTGTGAAAGTTGACATGCACCCTGCACCAGTATTGTGTATAGTTTGTCACTGCCGAGAGAGGGGATTTATGTTAAGATTTGTAGAGGCACTGTTGATAGTAAATGTGTTCTATGACATTTTTGTCTTTGGAGCATGATTTCGAGCAGGTAACTTGAAATCATATCCTGGACTAAAACTATTAAGTTCTTCTTAGATATTATTATCTTGCTGTATAATTTTATTATGGTTTTTATTGTGGCAAAAAAAAAACTGCCAAATAGCTGAAACCAAGAAATGTGAAGTTCCTGCATATTCCTGTCCTCATCTGTTAATCGCGTTACCTCATTAGCTAGAATCCGTCGCTTGTCTAAATTGGGCTGTCTGATAAACTTAAAATTTCAGCTCTAACAGTACAACACCTGCAGAAATTGTACAAATTTGAAATATTACCGATCAATTAATTTGGAAAATCTGCTCAAATTTCAGCAATAATTACAGTTTTATAAAGATATCTATACATTGCAAAACAACCCTGCTTTTCAGACTGCCTTAATTTTTTATGGTGTTTGTCCAAATTTGTCAAATTATTTATGATTATAATTAATAAAAAAAATTTGAGATGCTCCAAAATAAAATTGGAGTTCATAGACGTGTGGTTAAACAGGACGTGAGTTATTAGTAGACTCGAGGGAAAAACGATCTCACGATTTTTCAAAATTTTTAAAGATTTCTTAACCACTGTTAGTCACAGACAAGCATCCATGTCAATTGTTATTCACACCAGCAATTTGTACAGCAAAACAGACAATCTTGTTTTTCAGTAATTTTTGAATGTATCAAATATAGTATTTGCATTAGGAGTCACTGGTTGACTCTGTCTGAGTAATGTATGTGAATTTTTAAAAACTTTTGTAGTTTTCTTAGGGTTGGTTAAGTTTTACAAAAAGTGTATATTGGTGGGACAATTTACAAAATACTTCCAAGTGTAATAAAAGTGATGATTAGCAGCTTGACTCTTGTTTTTTTTGTTTCATAAACATTTAAAGCTTAATTTATGATGAGTGAGCTTAAATTAATAATTTATATTATTATTATATCTGTAGGAGTAAGTATACAAATGATACATATGAAATTTATTAATTTCTTAATGCTTGATTTTGATTTTAGCAGAGATTATGCATTATTTTAGGTATTTACTAATTGTATGTACAGTAGAATATTTAATAAATTATATTGTTATATATTTATTCAAGCATACTGGTACAACCATATGTGGAGAGAAAACATACCAAAAAAAATCATACAAGAACATACAACATATAAGTTCTATATACTTGTTTTGTATTAACAGATAACTAAAGCACAATAGTGAAACAAAAATTAAATTTATTCTAAACCTAAAAATAAAAAATAAAATAGCCTAGTTTCTGGTAATTATTTATATCTTACCTGGAAAATGAAAAATAATCAGTTTAGTCTCTTATTCACAAATTAATATCCAAATAGTCTCCCAAATATCCAAAGCTAACCCTGGTTAAATAACCTGCAAACCACACCCCAAGAGCATAATTAACAAAATTACTAACAATTTTCAATATAAACCTAAAAAGAAAAAAACCCACATTATCTCATGATGTTGGTTTTATGGTAAACAATTTAATCTTTTTAATAAAAATAAATACCTTGAAAAATGAATCAGTATCAGAAATTATTTTCCTAAAATTATTAAAAGAAAAACAAGTAACACCAAAAATCATCTCATGTAATTTTGACAAAAGGCACAAACTGCAACCACATGATATGCATTCAATTGTGAATCAACTGCACCACATATGCAAATGTCCCTTCTAAAAAATGAAAAATAATCAGTTTAGTCTCTTATTCACAAATCGGATAGTCTCCGAATAATGTAATTAAAAATAATATAGATTAATAAAATATATAGTAATAATATACTAAAATATTCATTTTTCAACATGGAATGGCATTAATTATTATTAGATATATAATGAAAATTTATCTTATAAATTGTTAAGTCTTGAAAATACCATTCTAAAACTTGATAATGCATTGCTGAATATAATCAAGACAAACAATTTAAACTAGATTAAGAATTACTTCCTGCAGATTAATTATAAGAAAATTGTTCATTCTGTTTTATTATCTTCATAATTGCAGTTTTTAAATTCCTTCATAAATAATGATATAAATTAAGTAATTCTCATTGTTAATTTTCATGGATGAGCTTTACATGTAATTCAATAACTTAATCTTATTTATTTACTCAAATGTCATCAATCTTTTTTCAAATTTTTGTTTTGTATAACATATGTCTGAAGAAGTTTCAAAAAGATCTGGTAAAAACATTTGCAAGATTTGCAATTAAAGGTTTTATTCTGATTGCATTGATACAAATGGCACTTTTAATAAATTTCTCAACTCTGATATACCTCCAATACACTTTAATCAAACATAACAAAATTAATTTATTTAAGTGATTTGACCTAAAGATATCATCTTAAATAAATGAAAGTATTAAAACAAACTGTTGGAAATTGATTGTATAACTGATAAATAAATTAAAAATTAATCAAACAAACATCTGAATTGAAAAGAT